TCTAAACCTTTTGTGCTGCCCACTTTTCCACCGAAAAGGTTCTCTTTTATTTTTCGAGCTCCAAATTGTGTTATCAAGAATCCCATTCAGAGGAGAAGAATCCAATTGCGACGTATCTATGGACTTATCACTGCCTACCTAAGTGGTTTAGAAAGCCGCAGACACCTGACAACTCATTCTGGCGGCGGCTGCAACTGTAAACCGTAGAATTTCATAATTTATTATGCAGTCGGATGACGATGGCAGCTGGCACATTTTCCGATATTAACATACGAAAGAACGCCAGAACGGCAGACAATATAAACAATGAGAAATATGCACTTAATAGCGGCTTCTTTCCGGTTCTGATGAGATGTCTCACTCGCTAATGGATTAACTTGTTTGTCTATTTTACGGCCCGGCTATAATTTAAGCCTCCGAAAGAGCCAAGCTCTGGCTCTGGCTCTGGGTCTGGGCTGGCCCGTAATAATTACACAGTTTAGGCCCGAAAGCCAAACTAGTTTTGGGCGAAAGCCCGCGATCTAATGAGCCATTGTCTGGGTCTCATATTTCACCAGGCCCGATAATAATCTCACGCCTGCCCAAGCCTAATCGATGGAGCGGGGTGTTAAGTGCCTTTGTCTGCCCCGAAATTAATTGCCCCGCTCGCGAATGCCATTTGTCGCCGTTCAGAAATTCCTTCTCGATTTTTAATTGCGCTTACATAAAACATGATCGCAGCCAAGTCGACTGCCAATACGTGCAGAGAGAGAGAAAAGGTGATCTGAAATGGAGGAAAACTGGGTTTAAAATGTTGCTTGAGGGGATCCAGGGTTTCATTTGGATTCGGAAAACTCATTCTTTATCAAAACCATAAGTCAGAAGTATCCATAAATTGAGGATGGGAAGGAGCCTTGAGGGTATCGCATTTGATATTACCAAATCTATATATTAACCACTGTACAAATGAACTCTTAAATTGCTTTGCTAACGTTTCCCCTTCAAATTGAATCAATTTTTCCCACTGTGTAGATTTTCAGAGACACAATCTCTGCAGAAAGGCAAAGTGAAAACGAAAATCCAGCCAGTCACGCCTCCCAATCCCCAAGCATTGTGGGCGGCTGCCGCTCTAATCTGTGCCGCACTCGTGTTAAATGTCAAATGCAATCAAAAAAACGTCGTCGGTGGAAATGGCCTCGTCCCGGCCCCGGCCCGGCCCCGACCTGGCCGGCTAACGTTGCTCCATTTTCCGGGGAACCCGTTCTTATCGGCCTGGAAGATGGTTGGGAAACTAACGCGAGCTGACAGGATGACAGATCAAATTGGGTTTTGCATACACATATCGACGGAGCCGATATTTATTTACGACTTCCCGCCATAAATGCTCGCAACGCGGCCCAATTAATTGACGAACTGAAATTCGCTCGAATATGATGATGAATGGTCGCTGAATAGTTGGTTAATTGTGGTCCCAAATGGACGTGAGGCATGTGTAATATGCAAATGGTAAATGCTGGGACAAAAGACCCGGCTTGACATAACGAAGGTTGGGGTTTGTTGACCCCCCAAAGAGACAGATCTTTGTTATGCTAACCGGGCCGAGTCGATAGCGGTATCTATTCCAAGCTGAGATTCTTTTTTTTTCTGAAACGAAGCTGTGTTTTAATCTTGCTCTGGCAATTGTGTTTTGGGCTGCGTGCCGAGGAAACTGGGCAACAAATTAACACGCCAGTTAGTTGGTCGTTAGTTAGAGGCGTCGATTGGGGTTAAGCAGCCGTAGCAGCCTGGCAGCTGGCCCAAAGTGAGGGAGAAAGTCGCTGCAGTCGAGCCATAATTGAGCCAACTAGTTGCCGCAACTTGGCCATAAACAACAGTTTTATTTCAAACCGCCGCTGGCAGGCAGCCACCAACCACCAAGCACCAACCATCAAACGCCGCTACATAATTATGAAGAATTTCTTAATAAAGCCCGGATTCGAAGCCAGCCGCAGTGCGAAAATTGATTTAGTTCGCGGCGAATTGCAGGGTTCCAGTATCGCCTGAGCTTTAAATTTAAATTGGCATGTCGGGCAATTAGAAATCACAGATAAATTCAAATCCAAATCCCACACGCGGTCCGCCAGTTGGCCAAGTCAAATGTCGCTTGTCAATAAGGTGTTTTTCTGCTGCAAAACCCATGTCCGAAGCCCACACACGCCAAGTCAATTGCTAACAAGCCATTGTTGACACATTGCAGGCCATGTAAGTCGATTTCATTACGCTCCTGTGGGTGGCCCTGGATCGGCGGCTATGTAGTCTCTGCCTTATATACATACATAGGAATATCTCTGGGACAACTAATTGGATCTCGTCGGCGGAGAAAGCCGCAGTTCGGCGATCTCATTGCGCGGTAATCAAATTATTTTCGGGCTCTGCAAAGTGTTTCGGTGTTTTTATGGCTAGACAAGTCATGTTTTATGCGTTGGAGCAGGTCGTAAGCCTATTTGGTTATGACTTCATTCCGGGGCACTGCTGCGATGCTGTGGCAGGTTGGTGAAAGTGCGCGGCGAGTGGCGATTAAGCCGAACGCATCTAAATAAATCAGTCAGAGCACTTCAGTTGACGCGTAATGTGCAGGGGCTTAAGAGATTGGATGGATTGGATGAATTTCTACCAAGTTCGTTGCCCAAGTCTTTCGTTGACCCCACTGCTGGAATTCGAAACGCCAAAAACTAGATGTTTTGAAAGAGAAGCCTGAGGATAATTGTCACAACAAAGTTATGAGTCTCGCTTATTACACCAGAAACCTATCAAGCCTAGAAGAGTTCTTAGTTTTTATAGCCGTTGTGGTTCTATTTTATACCTCTCCTCTTCTATCTGTAATTCAGATAGCTTTATTTTAACTTAAAGAACACAATTTTATAGATTCGTGAACATAAAGATTCTAGAGAACATTTTAACTTAATTAATTAAGAGAATAAATCTTTAGTTTTTCAACATTTTTACAAGTTACTACAGTTACTTGAAATGTAGGAATATTCTTGATTTCTGGAGTCTAATCAGATACGGTTATTTTTCTTTCCGTGTGCCTACACACCTTGGTAACCGATTCTCCCATAAAAAATATTGGGTTAGGGCAGCCGAGCCGACGCCTGTGCCTCGCATATCAAGTCCGTCTCGTATTTCATTCGATTTTTAATGCTGCTTTATTGTGTTTTGCGCCTGAATCTGACTCTGACTCTGACTCTGTATCTGTATCTGTATCTGGGAATGCGTAAGTTTCGAGTATCCGCGTTGACAAGCCTCTGAGAGCCCGGATTATATCGCACCTTTTGGCAACTTGGTTTATTGAATGCTCTTGGCATAATTGAACTATGTAAATTCACTTGGCCAGCTGAAGGGGCACGGCACCCTTGCGGATTTGCCGGTTTACTGGCTGCACTTCACTTGTCGTTGCACAATTTTTTTGCGAATTCTCTCCAAATCAGTTAGCAGCTTCGTGCACTTTGATCCGCGAACTGGTAGGAAAACGGTAAATGACAGATCTGGCGCAAGATAACATGGACCGAATCCGAATCCGAATGCAAAACCGAAACCGAGCACATCGATCGATCGATCGATCGATCTCGGGGAACAACCGAAGCAACGGACTTTCGACGATAGAGAGCGCGTGCGCAACAGGTGCCGACTGATCTCAACTAGTGCTGGCAAGACATTGGAACATTTGGATGTTATTTTCAAAACATCGATTTCTTTTGCTTTATCGATGTTTTCAACGTCTAGATTACAATTTTACACGTTTACATATACATGGGGTAAAGATGTCATGTAGGAAGTAAAGTATATTAACAAATTAACAGATCTGCAACAAGTTCGATGCAACACGATCGGAAATAAGCTGACAGCCGTTAAGTATGCTAAGCTTTTAGAAAACTACATTTACACCTAGCAAAAGTTGCAGCTTTTGGGCATGTTCATACATAGCATGTTTAAATCATATATTTATGCCGAGGAAAATATACATAGTGCATACTTTTAGGTAAAGTCACGCAAACATTTTAAAGAATCTAACGGAAATATGTTATTTCTGATATATTTGTATATAGTTCATTTATATTATCTAAAGATTAGAGAAGCAACAAATTTTGAATAGGAAATATATAATACTATTAATAATATTATATTGATATTTAAGCATTACTCATCGAATATTGTTGTTTTGTAAATATTTTAAATTTAACTAATTTAATGTTAAATTCTGTCAAGAAAAGCCCCCGATCACATGACTTAAATTGGTGCTCCGATTCAGGTCCATAATAAGCTCTTTCTCTTTCAACTTTTCGAGTCTTTACATTATTATTACAAATGTTTTTTACCTCAAGCCCCTGATATGTCCATTTTCTTTTTATTTAACTCAAAATTGAGTTCAAACCAATATAATTCCGCCGCTCTGCAATCGTTAAGATAAATGGATGTGTTTCCCATTCCCATTCACGCACTTGACTCACAAAAAGTGGTAATAAAACGCGACAAGAAGCGCGAATGTCAACCAGGTGAGGGGTTCAAGGTTAATCTACCTTCGACCATGTTAGTTGGTCACCGTGCGAGTGGTTCCAGGAGATCATTAGGGCTCAATGCGGTCTATGGGCTAATTAGCAGCGGAAATGCACTCTAGACTTGGGATGTGTGATTTATGGTGTCTATAGAATGAACCGTGTGAAGACCCCGAGGCGCCGACCCCAAAGACTTACCCACCATTGCACAGATCTTCTTTGGATGGGAGCTGAACACTTGGCTTACCTGGAACGAAGAGAAAAGATAGAAGGCGATTAGTTAAAACCTAAAAAAGGGCCAAAATGAATATGTTCTAGGAGCTAGAGCTAAGACTGCGACTGCTCCTGGCGTTGACGCTATCTCAAAATCAATTTGGCTAATTGCAAGCATAATGGCCTCGTTTGCCGCCACATTTCGTCAGACGCCCCCGAATGGGAACATGAAAAGAGCAGCCCTCAGAGGGGCAGACAACTCCTTGACACGCCAACTCTGGGCAGGATATGCGGGGCGTTTATTAGTGAAATAAAATAACCCCAAAGTGTCATCAAATCAATGCAAACTAGCAGGAATCGAAGTCGGCACCGAAACTTTTCCGCCTGCTCCAAGTTTTCCGACATTTGCGCGCCATTAGGCCGGACGGCGGGGGCAGGCTGTCCTGGCAAATGGGCAATTTCGTTGGCCCATAAAGGGCCGTGGTAATGGGAAAAGTTAGCGCCACATCCGGGGCACAGGTGTGTCCCCGGACAAGGAAATAGTTCTCCACACCCTCCCTTCTCCCTGGCTAATAGATTTCTGAATCAATAGACGACCTCCCCAGGGCGAATTTCGTCCCGTATTTTCACATCGAATTTGGACTGGGCACTGTGTGTGCTCCGAGAAGAGACAGACTCAGACATACTGGGTGCTCTCGATAATGGAGACCACGTCCTCGGCCAGGTCGCAGAGCTGCGAGTAGGTCTGCATGTAGAGTGCATCCTTGTAGGGCTTCCGGGAGCGCAGCTTCTTAAGCAGATACAGAGTCAAATTCTCGTGGCGAAGCTTTCGCATCCAGGGCTTCGGCTCCGGGTCTTCAGCAACGTCGACTCCATTTTTCTCCTTCACATCTCGCTGCGCTGCCTGATAGCGGGTCATCTCCGACCTGAGGGCACTCAGCTCCATCGAGGCCATCAATTCCTCCCACTCCTGGATGCCGTTACCAATGCAACCCCGCACGTAGATGAATCTGGAGCGGTCCCGCTCCTCGTTATGATCAAAGGGATCCGGACGCCTGGTGTCTGCGCCCGGCTTCATCGCCTCTTGGATCGAGATGAACTTTGCGAATTGGATCCGCCTCTGAATGGCCTCAGGGTGCCGCAGGATCGCCCCATGGATCGTCTCCAGTCGCAGGTCCCAGGCGGGCTCCCGAGGCTTCTTCACCTCGTGGTACAGCGCCTTAAGGGCCTCCAGGTCGTCGAACCTCTGGCAATGGTAGCTCGGGTTCTCGGCGTTGAACACCTCGCGTTCGTCGAAGATGCGCTCGTAGGGACACAGCACCTCGTGCGGCTTCAGCAGAGGCACCAGCGAGGCTTGGTGCTGTGCCAAGTCTTTGGTAATCCGCTGCTTGGCCTTGTCCATCACGAAGTTCAACTGACGTTGCAGCTTGGCCGTGTATTCCGGCGGCGGGACGCACCTGCCCGTCAGCCGGATCACGATGTGGCTACGCGAGGAGCCCAGGATGTGGGGGTAGACGCGCAGCTCCAAACGCAGCTTGACCAGCGCGCAGCCCCGCGGCCGGAAGAGCGCGCGGCAGACGAACTTCTCGCCGGGGAAGACGACGAACATGGAGCGCGACATGAGAAAGTATTCCAGATGCACCCCCGAGCCCTTGGCTCCGCGCCGAAGGGGTCGTAGGGGATCCACTGGCAGGTGATTATATGGCAGCCCACGTTCTCCAAGACCAGCACCTCCCGTACCACGTTCTCGTACGGGTGGCATTCGAAGTAGGTGTGCCCCACCTCAGGCGTAGAGCATCGGATGCCTGCATAGAACATTATCCCATTGATCCTAGCGGCGGGACGTTTCTGGAGCTCCGCGTCCGGATCTAGATTTCGATCCAAGTTAGACGTAGCATCCACGATCTGACCCCCTTCATCTTCCTCCTGCTCGGACCCACCTACAGTGGTGTCGCTTATAGATACCATAGACTCGGCGGAAACTCGCTCGATTTGCTTAAGGTTTCTGGAAGTTTCATTGAGCTTTTCTTGCCAACCGGCTCCCACCACCTCCAGGCTGTCGACTTCCGGATAGAACTGCAGGACGCGCTTGATGTCTTCGTCCTGCTGCTCTATCCGGTCGTCCAGCACCTTGGACTGGAGCCACTGGGTCCGGTTCTCGGGCGCCTGCAGGGTCCGTCCCATGATCTCGCCCTTGGTGGCATTCGTCAACCCACTGACCTCGACTTCCACCTCCCCAAACCGTTCGGCACGCGGCAGAGTCTCCTGGATCTCTGGCAGACACTTCCACTCCTGCTCAACGCAGACGGGATGCGCTGGCAGGACGGCTGGCTGCTTACTAGCCAGGACCGTGGGATTCATGCGGCCGGCCATGTCCAGCAGTCGCTCCACGGTGCCCCGGTCCCGTTGCGCCACCGTGGTGGGCAGATTGATGAGCATCTCGTCGGGCCGGCGACCCACCTGGCGGGCGATCTTTGCTTGGACAGCGGCACGATTCTGGAGGGTGTCGTACCAGCGCTTAAGGCGGGGGTCCATGCTCAGCGACTCCTTCAAGGCGTCGTGCACCGAGCACTCCGACTCGGAGATTTGGCAAATGCCGCGCATCTGGTCGAACATATCGGAAACGATGTTGGTGAACACCTTCCTGGTATCCGCCCGTGTGACTTCCTTTAGGTTGTGGTGCATCTGGAAGTGCACTTGGGTGGATAAGGATTTGCTCTGCAAATCGTTCATTTCCGGTTCCAAAAGCTTAGAATCCACCGAGGCCACGTTGGACTCCCACCGTGGTCGGTTGCGCGAGGAAAGCGACACTTGCGGTTGTGGATATTGCGTGATGCTATCCATTTTTTTTCTGTAAGTTTCCTTTACTTTATATTATTATTTTAGTTTTTATTGTTTTTCTGTGTGTTTTCTCTGTGTGGCGACAACTAGATCTCGGCTGTGCTCTCGATCACCGACACAATATCCTCAGCCGCCTGGCACAGCACGGGAGCCGTGGATGTACTTGTGTCCCCGGAAGAACTGTATTATGTCCACCTGGAGGCTGCTTTACTCCTTTACCTTTTCACAAGGCGGTTCCCAAAACTTCAGCACTTGAGTGCCCTTGTCTCCTTGAAGCAACTATTCCAATGCTGGAGATCCCTGACCACTTGGCAAGCAGCTTCTGCTGAAGAGCTTGCCGTTGGTCCATACTGCTCCTGCTCTTTGTTGTAGTTGCGGTCAAACAGGACGGCTCCACTGGAATCCTCGTAAAGACACCGCTCGGAATGATCTCGGAGAAATTCCTCTATTAGATAGTTGGCCAGGCCATCTGGGTGAACGCTGCCATCGGAGGAGTCTCCCTTGACCAGAAAATTCGTCTTGCTTTCAAACATACCGAAGATGTGCCTTTTTAGGGTGTCAGATTCCCATGTATTTTTGGCGAATGTTTCAATGTCAGATTATTTTTGTCATTAGACAGTTTTTTTTTTTATTTTGACTAATAATTCTAACTAGAGGGGCATTACTTTAATAATTATAGGATACTCATTTCCGGAAAATACAATTTTGATGAAAGACATAAGTTGACCGCATTTTTGAAATTGTCTCTGCTTTACAGTCCAGCTTTTTCTTAAAGGTTTTATAGATTTATATCGATAGGAAAAAAATTCGATATGATAAGTCAATAAAAATATTCTAAAAATGTCAATATTTAATATTTTTCCGGATAATATATCGAAAAAAAATTTATGGTTTATATAGCACCTATGCATATTGCAACACTAAATATAAATTTTATGTTTTACGTAAAATATCAAAATCAATCTATTATTATCAGCCGTTGTTATAGACCTTCATGCAAACAGCCATCAAATAATCTAATTGACAACAAAGCTTCTTTTTACAAGGAATTAGAATCCTTCATTAAGGGTTTTAGCACCACTTGAGCTACATATAAATTATATATATATTATTTTGGGGAGCACCAATAACTTGTAAAGTAACAATGTAACAAGTAACTTCAGGATATAATTTATTGGATGCATTAAGGTATGCCCATTGTTATTGGGTCTTACTAAACTCCATAAAACCAAAAAAAAAAACCTAAGTAGATCAAAAATCCCATTACTTTGCATCACGCCAATAAGTCTTTCTAAATTTAGGACAGAATTCAGGATCCTTGGGCCATATTTCTGAAATGATCCTTTAACGAAAAATGTACTAGGGGATGAGCTCAAGTCTTTTTCCTACTAAGCTAGCTCGACTTCCGTGCTCTCGATGACGGACACTATATCCTCGGCCATGTTGCACAGATGCGAGTAGGTCTGTATGTAGAGGGAGTCCCGGAAGTACTTGGAGCGATACAGTTTACGCATGACCGCCCCCCGTATCTTGTCGGCGTCCAGCTCCTCTTCTTCTAGGATCTCCCTTAGTTTCTCCTGGTCGATGGGTACAATGGGACGTGGCTGTCGGGACATGCGGCGACTACCATCCTCGTCGTCCTCCTCATCCTCCTGATCGGAAACCGTCAGCAAGCTCTGGTAGAAGCGCTGCAACTCCGGCTTGAAGAACGAGTCCTCCACGTTGAACATGAGCTCCTCCCACTCGGCGATCCCGTTGCAGATCACTCCTCGCACATAGATAAACCGGGATCGATTTTTTTGCTCCTCGCGCTCCTGTGAGGTGTCAAGGGAGGAGCCTGCAAGCATCAGGGGTGCTATCAGCTTATTGAACTCGGCGAAGAGCTGCTCCCTTTCGCGCAGGGCTTCCACGCGCAGGATGTAGCCCCTGATAGTGGACAGGCGCAGATCCCAGGGGTTCTCGCGCGGCTTTTTCAAGCGCTTATGCAGGGACCGCAGCACCTCAAGGTCATCGAAGCGGTCGCAATTGTAGCCCGGGTTCAGGGCGTTAAAGGTTTCCCGATCGTCCAGAACGCGAGGGTATGGACAGCAGGTGGGCGGCGGCACCACCAGGGGAGCTAGGGCGCCAAGGTGAGTGGTCAGGTTGTCCATGGCCACCGCGTCCGACTTGCAGATGCAGGCGCACTGGCACTCCAGCAGCTTGGCCATGTAGTCCGCCGGAGGAGTGCAGCGTCCGTGGAGCCGCACCAGCAGCGATGGGCTGCAGAAGATGCGTGGCTCCACCTGCAGCAGCCAAAGCTCCACGGCCATGGCCACCTTCCGCGGCTGGTAGAGCACCACTATGCTCCGACTCTGGCCTTGCACAAGCCGGAAGCCATCCACGTCGAAGTAGAACTCGTTGTCCCGGGCCAGCAGCAGGGATGCCCGGTTGTAGAAGTACGTGCTCTGCTTCCAGTGGAAGGAAAGCGTCTGCAGGCCGATGTTAGTGAGCTCCAACACCCGCTTAATGCGACGACGGAAGGGATCGCATGAGAACCGCGTCACGATCTCATAGCAACCGCGGACTCCGCCACCGGCTTCCCCCGGCACATAGTCCACACCGTTCACGCGCAGACCCACCTCCGGAACTGGCGCCGGTGTCTCGGCCTCTGTGGATTCATCCTCAGTGCCACCTACAGACTCGGAGACGTACTCCTCGGAGCAGAACAGACTGTCGGTGTTGGTCACCGTGTGCAGGGAGTCCGACTGCAGCAGGACCGTCGGAGCGAAGGTGGGTTTCAGCTTATCCACTCCCACACCCGTCACCTGCAAGGCGGCCAGGTCGGGAAAGAACTCCACCACGTTCTCGATGGCGCCGAAGTTCTGCTCGAGCCGCTGGTCCAGGAACTCGGACTGCAGCCAGCCAGTTGGTGGCTTCTCCTTAAGAGCCTCCTTGCCCAGCAGCTCCTGCTTGCTCACCTCCGGCAGACCAATGATCTCCACCTGCTTGTAGCCCACCTGTTCTGCGTGCGGGGGCGTCACCTCCGGACCGACAATGAACTGGCAAGTGCACGGATCCTGGCGGTCAGGCAGCTTGACCACTGGCGCCACCGCCAACTCCTGCAGGCGTTCGGGATCCATGCGGCCCGCGTAGTCCAGAACCGTCTTCACCGTCTGCTCGTCGCGGTGGTCGAGCGTGGAGCGGCGGTTGAAGAGCACCTCGCTGGCCAGCTTCCCCGTCTCCCGCTGCACGCGCTCCTGCATCTTCTTGCGCTGCTTTAGCACTTCCTTCCAATACCGCAGCCGCTTGTCCACATGGGCCTCCCCTTCCGGCTGCCGCGGCCAAGGCATCTCGGCCACGTGACAGGAAGAGGAGGTCTCGGGGAAGTCGCCTCGCTGCTCCATGAAGATCTCTTTTAAGATGTCCTCCACAAGGCGGTCACTGTACTTGGCCTGTGGAGCTTCCGACTGCTGCGACATCAGCAAAGTCTTCTCATCCGTGGAAGTCTGCGAAATCAGGTTGGAGAGCCTGGAGACGTTCCTGCCGGTGCTCACATTTCTACCGCTTCTCAGGGACAGTTTTATTGCAGTCCCCAAGTCCAAGTCGAGCTCCCTGGCATCCTCCTCATCATCTTCCTCCTCGTGGTGTCTCATTCTGTTAGGGGAGTTTTGTATTGTTTAATTCAAATGTGACAAAAATATACATAGGATATTCACGAAGGTGTTACTCCGACTTTGGATGAAATTCGGTTTTGAAAAGGTGACTCAATCTCCGCCAAGCCAACTAAGCTTGAAAAATGCAATATATATATTTTATATTTTTGAGATTCCTAGTACAAGTTGTTCCGATTCCTCTGAAACCATCCCTAGTTTAGTAGAGACTCCTCTTAAATCCCATACAGACCAAGTCGTTTCTGTACAAATCGCAATACCCATTCGGACCTGGTTTGCTTATTTATTTTTAATTGCAGCTCACTGTAAAGAAATATATGTATGAACCTGAGAGATAAGAGTTCCAGCTGTTATCTTCATTTGGAAAAGTCTGAAAAACATTGAAAATTTCTGTCCGCCGCCGGCATTTGGATCAGCGGTGACTTGTGCTCTCGATCACGGACACGATATCCTCGGCGGCATCACAGAGCATGTTGTAGGTGAGCATGTAGATGGAGTCCTTCAAGTACTTGCTGGCCTTCACTTTCTTCGCGACATTGTCTACGGTGTACAGATCCTGCTCTAGATTCAAGAAATGCTGGAGCTGCACGGTCGCCCTTGGTGTATTCTGCTTTTCTTGCTCCTCCTGCTTATGACCCCGTTGGCGCAGCAGCTCCAGTCTGAAAAACTGATCGTCCAGACCGTGGGCCATCTTCTCCCACTCGTCGATGGAACTGCAAATGATGCCGCGCACGTAGATGAAGCAGGCTCGGTCCCGCTCCGGGTTGTGCTCCAACTGGATGAGGGCCTCGCACCTGTTGCACTTCATCGGCTCAAGCAGGTCAAGCAGCTGGTTGTGCAGCTTCTCCCGCAGGAATCGGGCCTCCTGGCGACTGATGGAGCGGCGCAGACTCTCGATGCTTAGGTCCCAGGGCCGGTCGCGTGGCTTCTTGGCCAGCGCGTAGAGATCCTTGAGAGACTCCAGGTCGGCGTACCGATCGCAGCGGTAGGAGGGGTTCTGGGCGTTGAAAACTTCGCGCTCGTCGAGAGATCTCTCGTAGGGACACAGCACCGGTGGGTTCTCGATGATGGGTGCCAGTCTGGCCTGCATTTTGAGGAGACTGTGGGCCTGGAGGGTTTGCTGCTTCTCCCCCGGCACCTGCCGGTGCATCTCAAGCCGCCGCACGTAGGGAGCTGGCATGTTACACTGGCCCTGGAGGATCACCATTATGCGCCGGGTGCCGCAGACGGGCGACTTGACGAGGCACAGGCTCCAGCGCTGCGTGATCAGGCCCACTAGCTGCGGATGAAAGAGAGCCCGAATCTGGCGGCGTTCCTTTGGTTCCAAGATGAACTCGCAGCGGTCGAAGACCAGCTCGCCGTCCATGGGCTGGCGGTCGGTCCGGAAGCGGTTCCTGCTCGCCCAATAGACGTGCAAAAGTTTCTGACTAAGGTTCTGTAGGTTTTTAGGAAGAATGTCGCATAAGCTTTGGGGCGAAGTCTGAGCAAAGAGCACGTTGAGTTATGGCATACGTTTCATTACCTGTATTTCCACCAGTGTCTTGACCACCCGCTGGTGAGGCTCACACTCAAGCAGAAGGTGGATACCCTTCTTGTTCGTCCCCTTCATATCCCGGTAGTCGTAGAGACATCCGTTAACCATCACCCCATCCACATTTTGAGGCTCTTCCATATCGCTGGCCTCTACTTTGCCTTTGCCTTCATCATCATCCAGAACCAGAATTTCCTCCCCCAAGCCACGGAGCATCTGGTCAATATCTGTGTCCGACTCCTCCTCATCTTCCTGGGTGGAATCATCGGAGATGGAAGCCATATGGTCTATGCCGAGCTTGCGTATAGGATTCGTATGGGCCTGCGTCACCATCTGGACGATCTGCAGGTTGTCCAAATCTGGGGCGAACTCGAGCACGCTTTGGATGGACTGCTTCTTGGACTGGATGCGCTGGCCAAGGACCTCAGAGCGCTGGAACTGGCTTTCGGTGCCGAAGGCAGTGGCGGCAGTCAGCTCCTCTTGGGTGACCTGCGGCAGGCCGACGAACTCCACCGGCTGGATTTGTGGCCTGGCGGCATACAGTTCACGAATCTCACGGCAAGACTCGGGATCGCAGCGCGGCTTCAGCGAGTCCAGAACGGCGTCCCCACGAACCAGCGCCTGCGGACGCGATCGGTCAGCCGTGTCGAGGACACGCAGGATCATCCGCTTGCTGGCCTCGTCGATGGTCGTCGGGCGGTTGAACAGAACGTCCTCGGGACGCTTCCCGGTCTCCCGCTGGATGCGCTGCTGCAGTCTGCGGCGCTGCTCCAGCACACGGTTCCAGGCCCGCAGGCGCGGGTCCATGGCCAGATCCTCGGCAGCTATTCCCCGCGAGCAGCTTCCATGAACGGACTGCTCTACCGAGCTTATCGATGCATTCAAGTGGACGGAATCCTTGTAAAGCACCTGTGCCAGGATATCATTTAAGGTCTCATTGGCCGCCCCCACCGCCCCCTCTCCGCAGTTTTCCAGAAAATTCTCAGTCGTAGTCTCGCCATCCGGCGCCATCTTCATTAGCACCGAGACCTTCGTGTGCCTCATCTTTAAAGATTTTTGTTCAGTTGCGGAGCCCACGGGGAATAGTATATTTCTGTGATATAGACGTGGTAAGCTGACATGTATATGACTGCAAGGCAAGCTTAGTTTGCATATACATATAGTACAATATATAATATAAGAAGCTAACAAGGAATCAGTAATTGAGCCTATTTCAGCATACATTTTCATGGCAGACCTAAGGAGACTCGAGAGAAAATTCAGCGGATATCCAAGGCCAGGTAAATTGCAATTTATGGGACTAGCTGTTGTGCTAATTTGCTAACAATACCCACCAAACGCCGCCCAACAGCCAGGAGGAAACTTGGTCGTGTGACAAGTCATCGTAATTTGGATACTCCCTGTGCTCCCCACTGCTCCTAGCCCGGCCAAGACTCAATGACATTGACGTGCCGCCTTCACACAATTCACACAAAATACGTTGCTGTTGTTGATGTCGATGTTGCCATTGTGACTGGCACCGCGCCTCCAAAGAGAAAGGAATCGCCGGGGCTGTCGTATGTCAACTTACCTGAAACGGAGAGGAGAGGGGAAAATATTAAATTGATTTATACACGAGTCATGTGCAAAATTAACAAGAAAGCGACTGCGAACTATTTCTTATTTATGGACGGTTCAAAGGCTCATTAATTATGTCATCTGCGGTTTGGCAGGAGTTCGGATCGAGGAGTTGCTTTCATGTGGCCAAGGGCTGGGGGCCTTCAGGGGAGGAAGTAAAACAAGGTTCGCATCCCAGAAACAAACTTTTCACCCAACAAAAGGGCGAAACAAAGCCATATCAATTACCCTGGCAACCGACCGAGCCGAGGTATAAAGTAATTTGGCCCAAACCGCTGCGGGAACGGAACGGGTCCTGGCCAAGAACAAAGGTTAACTAACCGCAGGAAGGGAAGCCGAGTAGGTAGTTGGGTAGTTGGACGGGGAATGTGACTGGGACTGTGAGAAGGAGACGGGAGAACGGAAAAGGTCTGGGAGTGGGATGTGCGGAAATGCACTGCATTGTTGGCTGTTTCAATACTCATCATTATTACGGCGACTGGAAGCCCTGGAGTGCATGTGCTCCGTCTACGTGACGGCGAAATGCAATCAACATATTGTAATTCAGAAATGCATATTGAGAACGTGCAAAAGATACACCACAATGCAATGGGAGACGAGTCTCTTGCTGCTGCTGCTGCTCTTAACGGTCCGGCAGACGAAAACAAAACGAAGCCAGCCCGGGAGACATTGTTGCCACCGCATCAAGTGCAGCCAGCAAAAAATCCGGCAGCGTTTGCATTTTGATTTCCCATTTCGCATGCACTCAAGCAACGCATTTATTATTTACCAGCCAGCAACAGGCGACTGCGACTCAATACAGCAGACTCATGCTGCAGTTGTCAACGGCTGCCACGGAGAACCTGCGTCCTGCTCCCCATCCCCCTCTTGCTTCAGCCGCATGTTGCATACCACTTGGTGTTGACAGTGAGACAACAGCAGCAGCAGCAGCAGCAGCAGCAGCAGCAGCAACATCAGCAACATCAGCGACTCCAGACGCAGACGCCAACTGGTGGCGCTCGTTGAGTGAAGTCAGATAGACGGACGGACTGGTTGAGGGACGGATAGTGGGACAAATAAACCCGTAGAGTCTGTTTGTGCACTATCAATGCAAAAATGCTGATGGATGGCGATGTGGAGTCGCTGGTGTGATGCATGCCATGTTGCATCCATGTAAAGACATGCTACATATAGCATAAATGTTGGACACTTTACAAAGAGAATTATCCCCTGCTGGAACTTATTTCCACTATTTTTGCTTTTAAAACTTCAAGTATTATTATTTAAATTAAGTTGCAGTTTAGTATATATCAATTATTAGGTATTTAGTTCGACTTTTAAAATATCCAATAGTAGTTTCGATAATACGATCGTACAGTTCCCTCTCCCTCTAAGTGCAAGCAATCCTTAAGCAACAATTTAAATAATAAATACAAGATTTTTATTATTTAAATGATTACTAGAATTGAATATTTTTGTTATGGATTTTGTTTGACAAAAATAATCGCTAGTTGTTCTTCTCGAAATGAATTTAATTATTCATGTATTATTTATTGGTTTCTTAGTGCAACTAAAATAAAAAGAAATCAGTTAAATATTTACACTTTCATATGTAAATATAAATAGAGTATTGTTTGCAGGATGTATGACAGTGTTTTGAATGACAAGATAATTATAAATCAGAAACCCTTTTTGAATTTTATTTTCACTAAATAATATAAGCCATATAATATAATAGATAATATAATATTAAGAACAACACCAACAGCAATAACTCATAACATAAATATTAATAATAGTATAAGACTATAGATTACAATAGTTTCAAGAACTTTTTAAAAATTACAGTCCTTGAAAACTGAAACTAAACGTAAGGTTTAGCGAGCGATCTTAGATAATTATATATACAGCTAACGAGTTAAGTTAAATAATATTTTTCAACTTGGCCAAAACTGAAGCGATACAACTACAAGTTACCTAGAACACGTGTACCATTTGCAATAACTTTTGAAATTATTTAATTGAATACAGGTCCCCTTCCTAAAATAGATCACATCAAAACTAAATTAAAAACACAATGTCAAAGCTAACGTTATCGACAACCCAAGTACCGACTAATTAATGACCTAGCCGAAGAGCAAAACATCAAACCGATGTACCATCTGTCGAGTGTGCAAAACAAGGGTATTGCATACACTAAAACTGTATTTATTGGCTTTCGGTTAGTTGCTGCTCGACATGCAAATGCCGTTCGCCGCACTTGATGACGCCCATAATAATCAAATTTTTATTGAATGAATTGCAAGCTGTTAAGACGCGAAAATTATTGGTCAGGCGCCGAGGCCAAATCCATTGAGATTTCCATCGCCCGGACCCGGGACCAGTTCGCCCGTTCGCCCGTTCGAGTACGGGTTCGAGTCACAAGTGTGTGTGTGGCCATAAAAGTGCGTTACAAATAACTGCACTTTTATTGAACGGCGGCGGCTCGACAAGTGCCGATGCCTTGGACCGTTAGAGCGGCCTGGGATGCCTGCTGCGAGCGAATCGAGCCCGAAAGCTACATGGTGAAAAAATAGGGGCAATAATATTCTATGTTTTCCTAATCCTGTAAAATTACTCCTTTGTCCATATTAAATTTATATCCCATTTAAAGCAATAACTCTCGGGAACTGCTACTATAGTTGAAACAGATATCGATGTAACGTCATTGAATGTTGACCAACATTTTACAATATCCATATTTGATTTGGTTCTTTTTAATGTCCTCGTGGGATAATATCTTAATTTAGAAGTCATTACAAATTGCCTAAGGTCAATATAGGACATACATTTTCTACATTTTGTTCGTTAATTTGTGCCATACGATTTGGTAGTCTGATTCAGACATATGTATACTACCTAATAAACCAAAGTTTTATTTAGAATCTGCGGGATTATTTTGTGTACAAACAGACGGAGGAACAGGGCAGGGCTTTGAAGACCACCCACGACAAGGCGATATAAATAAAAAATGTAGTAAAATTCAGAACATATTTATGTTTAATCTTGCATAATTCAATCACCCCTAGAATAGCAATTTTACTAACATTCCTACGACCTATTCCCTCAGTGTATGCCCAAGCTCGAGCTCCACTCCACTCCGCTCTCGTGTCCCGACTTGGATTCGAGTTGATTCGAGTTAATTGCTGTGCAATTTGTGAGCAGCAAAATGGAATGCGCTGTCAAATCAAACCCGAAGCACTTAATTAAAACTTATTGAAGGCAATCGCCAAATGTGGCGGCAGCAATGGCACTCTTAATTGCATAAGCATGTTGCAGTGTCGCAGTGTTGCTGCTGCAAGTTGCTGCTGCTATTTACCTGACTTCGGCGGACTTGATGACGGCCTTGGGCGGTGCATCCCAATAGTTGGGGGCCGGCGGCACCCACTGGCGCAGCACCTGGTAGTTGCCCTCCAGCAGCGCCATGCCCTCGATGACCTCCTCGTCCGAGTCTCCGTCGTTGGGCGGTCCATCGCCTATCGCCCGGTTATCGCTATCGGCGTTCAGGTTATCGAACGAGTCGCTCATTGTGTCTAGCTTTTGGCTTCAGATTTTGGCGCCGCTTTCACTGCCACAACTCTGCTAGGAGAGTCTCGGATTTTGGGGGCAAACAAAGATGCGCAATGCCATTTGCGCTGACTCACAGATACACGAGCACGCACACACACACACACTGATTACACAGATACACTAGCACCAACACACAAAGAACTATTTCCTAAGAAGAGGCCGCAAACAATAACAAAGGCAGCCGGCACTGAATACAAGTGAATCGAACTGAGATTTCGGTTCGCTACGGTCAACTTCTAGGGAATTTCTTGGAAATTTCATCGCCCGACGTCTTGGAATTAATTGTATTTATAGTATTAATTCGCATTATTGCGCGCGTTGTCGCTGGAAACTGGAAATTCACGGAATCGCCGGACGGAGCGCGTGGCCTCCGCTCGCGTTGCACTCACGGATGGTTCTTGCCTCGCGTTGCGTTTGTTTTGGCACGGCGGGATTGACAAGCACGGCGAAAACACAACACTCTCCTGTACACACACACACACACACACACACACACACACACAAGCACACATCGCACAAAGGACCACCAATACTAACCCCCCAGGACACACACACACTCGTGCAGCTGAGGGTTAATATCTGGCGCTCGCCTTTGCATCCCTTGTCGCAGCCAGAGAACTCGCCCCGCTAGCGCCTCGCGTCCTTGAGTCCTGCGACTTTGGCTTCAGTTTCAGTTTCAGTTTTGGTTTGCTTTCGCTCCTGCTCCTGGTCCTGGTGCCGCTCCTGCCCCTGCTCCTCCCTCTTTTTAGCGAGTGTGTAAAATAAGGGTTTGAATGTAATGTTTTTATGTCTGATTTCGTTTTCGTAGATTGTGGTGGCGCAGTGTTCGATGCACGCATATTGTTGAAATTATGTAGCCAAAGAGCGACCCGAAAAGGGGGGTTGTGTGCCGCAGAGTGGGTGAGTGG